GAGACCATAATATTAAAAAAAGAATATAATTTGTGGAAAACACTATTGAGACTGAGAGGGCGCCCAAAAACCCTTGTCTTGTTGTCTTTCTGTCACCGCCTAATTCGCTCACTTGAGTGGCCGCTCTATCTCTAGATTCCCATACAATTACAAACACACACACCCTACACCCTACACTCTTTCTCATCATTCAACTCAAAAACCTTTTTTTTGCCCCTTTTTCTAATTCTGCATCTGCATATTGTAATAAGTCGTATAAAATAATCCAAAATATCTGTCGCCACTTTCGATTTCTCCAATACCAATCACTACAAGTCCTTCCCTTCTTCTCTCTCTCTCTCTCTCTCTCTCTCTCTACACACATACACCCTAAGCTATCTTCTCGGTGGTGCATCTGACTAAGATCAAGAGATGGCGCCACCGGCAACCGGCGGAGGAGCAGGAGGAGGTGGTGGTGGTGGTGAAGGTGGAGGAGCGAGGCAACCGCAGCAACAAGGGTTCGGGCAGATGTTAACGGGAATAATAAGAGTAGCGGTGTTTTGGTACTTCGCATCCAAATTTTTCTCTCCAAAGAAGTCCGTCGAGCCTTCTCTCCAGATTTCCAATCTATTCCAAAAAGGCGAACCTTTGGTACGTCTCTCTCTCTCTCTCTTCAGATTTTAATGTATACACTTATAACGTGTGTGTATGTATGTAGGCGTTCTTTATTGGGTGTACTATTTGTGATGTTCAATCCTTATTTCTGCCAATTATAGAAATCTAGGTTTTTAAAGGTGTATGTATGTGTGTGCGCGCTGAGTACAAGGGTTGCTATCTAGTTTGGTCCGTGGCAATCTAGGGTCTGGTAGGGTAATTTTTGGCATAACTTGCACGAAGTAGGTCATATATATATGAATGTATTTGTACACTTTTATGTATGCGTCTCAATAGATGTTTTATGAAGTTTGAGGGTGTTGCTTTATTAATATAATAGATAGTCTTTAATGGCTGTATTGTTTGTAAAGTCTAATTTTAACCAGTAAAAACACACATACAAGATCTGCACTTCCTTTTTGCTAATTATAGAAAGCTAGTCTATTTTTCCGAAGCCTATAAAGGTGTATTAGTTTTTTAAAGAGAACCAGGTACATGTGTGTCTGACATAGCAAGTAATTCTCTATTCCTCCATATTTAGGTCTGGTTAAGTGAGGGTGTTGGAAGGGGTTGGGTATTGCCCTCATATTTAAGCCCATAACATCTTGGTTCTTAATTGGAGTACTTTACCACTGCATTGCGCAATGACCCTCTATATGTGTATACATACTTTTTGTTTGCATGTTTATCGAGAATTCTAATTCAACTACCCTTTTTTTAATATGTGATCTTTTTTGATATGGGAAATGGTTGAATCTATACTTCCGAAATCTGAAGTGAACAAATACTTATATGCAAATTGGGAGACACCTTGGTTGAACTTTGCTAGTAGGCTAGCTAGCTAGATGCATATTGTGCATAGTAGTCGAGGCATTTAAATTTGTCTTCTGAGGTGCTGATGTTTGATATATCTGTTGATGTATCTGCATTTTCCAGTTTGTGATGCATGTATCATATTAATTTATCTTTCGATATTTTCATAATTATGTGTTCTTTGTGTGATATATTCAAAGCAGCAGTACATTGTTGCGATTCAAATTGATATATTTATTGTTTTTGGTGTATTTGGTGGACCAATAACTGTATAGCACATCTGTGCACCCAACCTGAACATTACTTTTGGTTTTCATTGGTCTAGGCCTCTGGATTCTTTCATTTTTGTTATGGTCTTTGTTTTGCATTTTCACACTGTCCAGAACATCTACTAGATCATACATGCAGAGTCGTAGACACATGCGGGGGTATTGTTACACTTCTAAACGAAGGGAAAAGCTGTATGTTGTGGTTTTCTTATTTTTTCCCTTCCTTTCATGCTTCAACAGTGTCTTTCTGCCTTCAATTTATGGATTCCACCCCTGAGCCCTTGCTTCTTTTGTAACTTCCATGGTATCTTGAGGAGAAGTAACTGATAGAGGATGCCCTTGTCCTTGACTGATGTCAATTGGAAATTGATCTTTGGCAAAAAAACAATTATAAAAGGGACATCCAGGGCTGCCAAGTGTTTGGCGGTGGTGGTTTGCAAATCAACTTATTTGAGTTACTAAATCAGAGAAGAAGAGGCTGGGGTAGTGGAGTAAGAGACCAGCTAGTTGAAACAGGACAAGGGAAGGGGCGAGGGTGGGCAAGCAAAATACCTTTAATTTATATGAGTAGGTATGACATTTAATGTACACCTCTTGTCAACCTACACCTGAAGCAAGTAGGTTTAGAGAATCTTATAGAAACACATGCCAACACATTTGATGCATCCTACAAGAGGTGTAAGAAAGAGTAAAAACAATAAATGTACATTGTGGCCAGCTAGTTTAGGATTAAGGCATGGTTCTATTTGAGAGGTTTCCTAGTCTTTTACATGTGTCCGAGGTTCTCAGTTTTGTTATTTAAGCTGCCTTTATTCTTCAAGTTCTATTGGTGGAGGCATTTTAGTGGTTTTGTCTTTGGGGCTGTAGAATTTGGCTGCTTCCTGCACAATAGGCCTCTAGTTCCGCGCTTCTTTTTTCTATCCTTCTCTTCTCTCTCTCTCCCCCCCTGTTTCTCTTTCCATCTCTCTTTCTCTCCTTTTCTAGCCTTGTCAAGATTCAAATCCTCTTCCCTTCCATGTATCTATTATCCTTAAAGTCCTATTTCTACATTAAGCTTCCAGCCCAGAAACCTGACAATATTCTGCCGCAAATAGCTTGTTTTCTGCTGCCATCTCTAAGTAGTGTTGAATTATGAGAGATCCTGCATTGTCATCTATGCATCTATGATGAAAGAAAATTTCATGTTAACTAAGTGGGACAATATTCCACTGATATGTATCCATTTATCTTGCCTAGAAAGGTTCATATTGGAAAACAAAGGTGTTAAACTCAGTTAATAATATGTTCCATGTAAAACCTTTCAAACACTTGAGGCCTCTGCAATGTGATCAGCAGATCTTAGCAAATTACTTTGATAGTATTACCAATATAAGACTATGGTATTCTTTTCATGAGTTTGCTGGAAAGGCTTCACTTGCTTTCTGGTCTGAAAATTAGAGTGAGATTTGATTTATTTTTTTACGACTGACAAAAAAATATCTATTGCAATCTGAAAGCAATTAAACTACTTCATCAATGCCATAAATTGATGCTTGTGCTCCCAAAAAATGAGTTTGAATGGATTGTCGTCAATTTGAGCATAAAGCATTCTTGACATTAAAGCATTTCAGGATTTGGTAAGTGCTAAAAAGGAATTCAAGCTAGCCAAGTTATACGTGTGTTACCTCAAGCTAGATGAGCCCAAGTGGGACATGCCCACCTCTTCTGTTGAAGTGTATTTCAAACATGTTCTTGTTATAAACCCAACTATTTGATTTTTGATACTATCTAAACAAAAATATGATGTGTAGTTTTGTACATATATGTATGCAGTTATGCACAGACGCCCATAAAACTATGGATATGAAGAAAAGTATCCATTGGTTTCCATTGATCTCAGAAGGTATCTGTTGTTTCCAATTAATTTAAGAAGTGCTTGTTGGTAATGATCAGAAATTATTTGACTGCCCCCACAAATATTAGAGAGCTGAGCAGGGCTTGTTGCTAATGAGAGATCAATTGACTTTTTCCAAAAGAGAGTGTGTGTGTGGGTGAGAGAGAGAGAGAGACAGAGAGAGAGAGAGAGGTTTGCTGGTTACAAGTGGAAAAGGGTGGATGGAGATTAGACTTGGAGATGTGCTCCCATGAAATGTGAGCAGGGATGGATGGGAAGGTCAAATATTGTTTTTAACTCCAATTTAGAAGTTGAAACTAAATATGGCCCATTTTTTTAATTTCTTTTTTCTGATAAAAAATCTTAGGGTAATGTGTGAACTTTCATGTGAAGCGGATAGGTCAAGAGGAACATTTTGACAGTTTTCATAGGGATGAGCAGGGTACAGTTTACAGACCTAACTCTGATTTATTTGAAAAACAAGTGACTACCTCATACATGAATATATGTTATCACACTAGACAAAATGAGCTTTTGTTCTATATGCAAGTATGAATGCATATACTGCTAAAAAAAGAAACGTCATTCTAGCCAAATGGGATAAAGTGAGTGTGTAGCAAGAAGTGTTCTGCTGAAATTGAATTGAACCATCTTGGCGTGAGAGTGTTGAAATACTGAAAATCAAAGCTCATAGTCAAAGTCAGCATACTTAATATTCCGTGTGAACTACTCAAATACTTAAAGCCCATGCTGTATGTTAATGAGAACTAATGATTTACAATGGTGATATCTTTACTTTCTTTTTGGAGTGGCAACTACTTCAAAATTCAAATATCTATCATTAGATCATTGAAGTGACTTCATCAATGTTAACAAAAGGCTGAGTTCAAACAAAAATTTTTTAACTGACCTTGTCATTGAGTGGTTCAAAGGAATGTCACGAAAGGATGTCTAGCGAGCCAAATTATCTGTTTGAAGTCGATCTAACTGAACCCATTTGGGTTGAGCTCTTCTGCCAAAATGCCTTGTAAAAGTTCTTTTTTTTGAGCAAGTAAAATGTCTCCTAAAAGGTCACTAAGCAGTAACATGTAGATTTCATGTTGATATAGTAAACTTAACAAATTGATTTCTAATGTGAGTATATATACTCCTGTTTCTTATGAAAAAAGTGTATATACAAGTATGCATCTGTATCCACATCTGTATGCATTTACATATAGGATATGCTTGGCATTGTTGTTGCTGTCCTCATCTGCCTTTGCGGTTTTTTCCATTTCCATTGCAGTTGTTATCTGCCTTTGATTTTGTTTTCACATTCACCAGTGTCTTGATGTGGGGGCACATAGCACAGAAACAGAGATTTCAAGTTTGATCAATTTTTGTTGGGCTCTATTGTTTGATATAACCCAAACATGTATGGAACCAGAAAAGCTATTCATGTGGAATTGGATGATAAGATTGAAGCTATATCCGAGTTGGCTAGAATTTTTAGGAATCCAACTATTGAATTGGAATTAAGTGCCTCAATTTCAATGCCAAATGCCAAATGCCAATTGTATGCTTCCAAATACATTCTAAGTGGATCCGTGGTGGAACCTCTGTGGGGTTTTTTCAAAGACTAAATCCACATCATACGGCACAATTCATAGTTTTCTTTTCTTACTACTTCTGATCCCATGAAAGTCCTTCAGGATTCGTTTGGTTTGATGGAGTTTTATTCTCCGTATATTATACAGATCTTCCTACGGCAGCATGGACCAACTGATGTTATGTATTAGTGTCACTTATGAGTTTGGATTGTGGCACTTGCCTTTGCAACTATTATCATTTATCAGCTGGGTTGGGAGGGAAGAGGATATAATTTCTGGGCAGCATTTATAAAAGGCTGCTTCTGTGCAGAATGTGTTGATACTTTTATTTCTTTTAAAGTTCTTTTGGCTTTATCAATTGGATTTTACTTATTAACTCATGGTGACAATTTTCACAGAAGGAAAAATATTTGTACTCTTGGTGACAATTGAAGTAACACCACCTTTGTCTTGGCCCTTTGGAGTGAAGACGTGCATATGTTTATCAAGTACAATAATCACATGCTGCCTTATGCAGTCATGTACATCTGCATCTATATATATATATAGATTGAAATCTTAAATTATATTCTGCTGAAGAAATCAAATCATGCTTGTTTAGGAAAACAATGTGGTGCATTGGCCTGAAGAAAAATTCAGCTGAAGCATCTTTAAATTAGATCTCTGTTCTGTGGACATCTTACTGTATATTTGGTTTTACTTCGCAAATATTGGTCTCATTATCATTGACTGTCCTATTTGAAACTGCCATGTTTCTTGTGTTCAGGACATGTGGTTTTACGTTTCAGAACATGAAAATTTCAATGACTTCAGTAGTGAAGGTGCACTTGTTTGGCATGAGACAAATATACCTTATGGAGTTTGGGGCCTAGAGAGTACCAGATCTCTTTCTTTGAAGTATCATCCATCTGAGGTATAGGTTGCTACTACTACTTTTTAGTGCTCTGTGCTACTCGAGTTCCTCTGAAAAATCTGTGATGATCTATCTGGTTGGTTTGTTTCTTCATTTATTGTGGGAAGGTGTTTATTATGATTACATAGACATAATGGTTTCCACCTTCAGGCTTTGAAGCACAATGGGAGTCTTTATGCTCATGTTTTCTTTGCACGTTCTGGTTATCCGCCAGACCCCAGTGATCCGGAGTACCAGCCATCGGCTAGCTTTGGAAGGACGCACTGTAAGATTGTTTCTGATTGACTTCGGATTGATTTTACATTATTTGTAACATAAAGTGTTGGGTGGAAAATTAGCATCTGATGAACAATCATGTTTCCTCAATTTTAGCTATTGTGGCATACTTGCCAAAGTCAAAAGCTGATAAAAGGAAGAGCTTGTTGGGGGATTCCAAGGGTTCTGCCGAGAGTGCAACCTTGTCTGAGGTTGGTCTGTTTGTCTAACATTGCTGTGCAATTGTTTCGTTAGCCCAAATTAGTAGCGTGTTTTGGATACTAATCCTTAATACTTGCTGTTTGGTCTTGGATAAATTTCTTTGCTGTTTAGGTGAAGCATTTCAAGGAACTCTGTGTGTGTAAAAAATACCATAAACATGACAAAGAAATCCAGAAATAGAGCTAGAAGTCACAATAAATCTTGTTCATCAAAATCACTTTCCATATATATGTAACATCGAAATTCTACTTGATTTGTAACATCGCAGAAGCATAACAGAGAAATCCAGAAATAAAGCTTGAAGTCATGATAAATCTAGTTCATTACAACCTCTTTCCATATATATATATATATATAAGGGGGAAATGTGTGCATTCAGTTTTTAATTTTTATGAATGGGACTCTGATGTTTAAACAACCAACAAATTAACAGTTGCCCCCCTTCAGCTCCTAGCTGATGCAAAGCCTGACTCTTCTAGTCCTCACATAAGACGTAACCAATAATGCTTGTAAGCAATGAGCTTAGATGTTCATGCAATGAAATTGCATGAATGGGTATACTTGACGACTATGAAGCATGATCACTCTCAAGAAGGTGACGTATCCATCTTGGAAATTGTCGGATATCGACACTCTTAGGACATGTGTCCAATGCTATTTTATCAATGTCCATAATTAAATAATAAAATTTTAATTTCGGACACTAGTCTGATACTTTGTTGGTGATATGTTCGACAGTTCTTTAGACTGTGTGTATTACCAGACAATAAACAGGGGTTGACATGTGACTAATAAAACTTAAAAATTTGCCTAATGAGTATTTTATACTTGGAGAAAACATATAATTACCAAGACTAAACATGCTAAAGTCGTACTCAAAATGTAATAATAAAAGTAAAATATGCATACAAATGTAAAATCATTTGACCTATAAATGTTGGGTACACGTTTTCTATAAAAAAAATTATGATTATTTGACTATTATAATTAGTAATATCAAACCAAACTAGACTGGCCGGTCCAACCGGTGAATCAGACTGAACCAGTTTAGTTATCAGATCGCTTGTGTAATTCAACCGTTAAAAACCGTGAAAACCAACCAGCTTTCATAAGAACCTATCAAACCGTTCACCTGGTAGTTTGAATATGATTCCTATAAAATTTTATTTTGGGCAACTTTGCCCAATACAGAATAAGATTAGCCAATCACGCTAAGCGAGAGAGAGAGAGGTTTGGTTTTCGAACCAGTTAGCAATTCATTGGTGAGAGCTCCTCTTGAAAGCGTACACGCTGTTTGGTGGGGACAAAAGAAAGTGTTAGAGTTTTCAAGATTTTATATGTAGTGTTGTTGGGCTATTATTTTTGAAGGTAAATGCCCATTATAATAAATCATCGTTGGTAATAAGTACACTTCAATTATGAGATTTCATATTGGATCTTAATCTTCTATTTTTGTCAATTTCATCATCCAACTTTGATCCTTAAAAGTTTGTTTTTGTCCTCTAACTTTTACTAAGTTTGTTTTATTGTGATAGTGATTGTGAATTTATAAATACTATACGAGATATTATATGAGATAAAGTATTAAAGCATGATATTATTATAAATATTATATTTTTAACTAAATTAGGTGGAGAATAATTAATCCGTATTTAATTATTGCTAGATTTAATTATTAATTTATTCCATAAGTCTTTGAATACCTAATCGGCTATTTATTTAGGTATTTGTCCGACCTCTTTAGGGATTTGCATATCTAATTATCTTATAGAATTTTTAATTTTTATTTTCTTAAATAGATTGATTAGATCGCTTACTACATGTGTATAATAATCTAAAATGTATAGGACTTTACTTCTTCATATAGATATAGAAAATTGTATGAAATTGTACTACTAATAAATGAGTTCAAAATAATTTAGAAATACTTATAAAAGAGTCCAAAACAAGTTGAAAGTCAAATAGGAGTGAAAAGCAAAAATGAGATGAAAGTATATTGGTGGGTATAATTGACTTTATTATAATAATTAGGGATAATATAGAAAATCAAANATGGGACTCTGATGTTTAAACAACCAACAAATTAACAGTTGCCCCCCTTCAGCTCCTAGCTGATGCAAAGCCTGACTCTTCTAGTCCTCACATAAGACGTAACCAATAATGCTTGTAAGCAATGAGCTTAGATGTTCATGCAATGAAATTGCATGAATGGGTATACTTGACGACTATGAAGCATGATCACTCTCAAGAAGGTGACGTATCCATCTTGGAAATTGTCGGATATCGACACTCTTAGGACATGTGTCCAATGCTATTTTATCAATGTCCATAATTAAATAATAAAATTTTAATTTCGGACACTAGTCTGATACTTTGTTGGTGATATGTTCGACAGTTCTTTAGACTGTGTGTATTACCAGACAATAAACAGGGGTTGACATGTGACTAATAAAACTTAAAAATTTGCCTAATGAGTATTTTATACTTGGAGAAAACATATAATTACCAAGACTAAACATGCTAAAGTCGTACTCAAAATGTAATAATAAAAGTAAAATATGCATACAAATGTAAAATCATTTGACCTATAAATGTTGGGTACACGTTTTCTATAAAAAAAATTATGATTATTTGACTATTATAATTAGTAATATCAAACCAAACTAGACTGGCCGGTCCAACCGGTGAATCAGACTGAACCAGTTTAGTTATCAGATCGCTTGTGTAATTCAACCGTTAAAAACCGTGAAAACCAACCAGCTTTCATAAGAACCTATCAAACCGTTCACCTGGTAGTTTGAATATGATTCCTATAAAATTTTATTTTGGGCAACTTTGCCCAATACAGAATAAGATTAGCCAATCACGCTAAGCGAGAGAGAGAGAGGTTTGGTTTTCGAACCAGTTAGCAATTCATTGGTGAGAGCTCCTCTTGAAAGCGTACACGCTGTTTGGTGGGGACAAAAGAAAGTGTTAGAGTTTTCAAGATTTTATATGTAGTGTTGTTGGGCTATTATTTTTGAAGGTAAATGCCCATTATAATAAATCATCGTTGGTAATAAGTACACTTCAATTATGAGATTTCATATTGGATCTTAATCTTCTATTTTTGTCAATTTCATCATCCAACTTTGATCCTTAAAAGTTTGTTTTTGTCCTCTAACTTTTACTAAGTTTGTTTTATTGTGATAGTGATTGTGAATTTATAAATACTATACGAGATATTATATGAGATAAAGTATTAAAGCATGATATTATTATAAATATTATATTTTTAACTAAATTAGGTGGAGAATAATTAATCCGTATTTAATTATTGCTAGATTTAATTATTAATTTATTCCATAAGTCTTTGAATACCTAATCGGCTATTTATTTAGGTATTTGTCCGACCTCTTTAGGGATTTGCATATCTAATTATCTTATAGAATTTTTAATTTTTATTTTCTTAAATAGATTGATTAGATCGCTTACTACATGTGTATAATAATCTAAAATGTATAGGACTTTACTTCTTCATATAGATATAGAAAATTGTATGAAATTGTACTACTAATAAATGAGTTCAAAATAATTTAGAAATACTTATAAAAGAGTCCAAAACAAGTTGAAAGTCAAATAGGAGTGAAAAGCAAAAATGAGATGAAAGTATATTGGTGGGTATAATTGACTTTATTATAATAATTAGGGATAATATAGAAAATCAAAAGTTTTTTGCAGCTAACATTTATAAATAGTAAAGATTTTATTATACAACTGATTCGACCAATTGACTCAACGGTTGAGCCAGTGACTCATTGATGTCTGGTCTGGTTTTGATAACTATGATTATAATGCTTTCCTCTAAAAATTCACACTAGAGGACTAGACATAACATAAGTATATCATTTTCACTATATTTGTGACATTATTTAACTTTATATATAACACATAATTGTTTGTTGTACCCAACATGCTTGTGTCCTAATATATATTTTTTTTTAAATGTCGCTTCTGCATATCCGTGTTGTATTGTATCCATGTCTGTCCGTATGTCTTAGCTTTACAACATAATTTTTTGTCAAGCATGCACTGGCTTATTTCTTTTGCTCAGGAGTTGGGACCCTTTCTAGACATGCTTTAAGCCTCATTGGACCAGTTTAAGTGTTAGAAATGCAACTGGACCCATCCTTTGTAGTAGAGTAGTGTATGAACCAGTTCGACTGAGACTTGGACCCGTCCATATGGTCCTAGAAGTTTTCCACTCGGAAAGTGGAGCCGTCCATCCGTGACTAGACCTGTCCATCTGCTTGCAAAGTCGATTTAACCTGGCTTGATCAAGGGTGTACCTGTTCGTTTGTGCGGGTCAATTTACGTTTAAACTTCTACTCAATTGTTTAGCCCCTACTAAATCCCTCAACCAAGCTAGAATTCAAAAACCTGATAAAACGGCATCCTACAACTTACTTTTGAGTGTACTAGATTAAAACATGCCACGAATAACTGCATGACACTCAACCTTTAACTGAAATACAACCTCAGATATTTTGTAAGGGTTCTTGCTGAAAAATATTGGCTGTTTCGAATCAACGCGATGCAACATATAGGATTTGAGTTCTAAGATGAGAAATATAGGATTTTACATAGTTTAGAGTTTGAAAGGTGTTAGTTGGAGTGGTGGAAGAAGAGCAAAGACAGAGAAGCCTATAGAACGATGCTGGACATGCATTTAGAGTCTTTATTCTTGTGCTAAAGTATGCTAACTTAATTTACTAAATTTAAGTAACCTCCCATCAAACTTAAGGAAATTACTCTTTGACCCCTAAATTTGAGACATTGGTGGAACCGATGGGGTCGTTTCAATGAATTTCTTTATGCATTCCAATAAGTTTATTTATCAGCGAAAATTTCAACTGGTGAAACATGAAATCTTCATAGAAAAGAACTTGTTGTCTACGAAGGCATGCGGAATACAATTACCATGAATTCTCTTATCATAAACAAAGGGAATTGAATAAAAACTTTACCAAGTATTACTGTATTAGGAACCTTTTGTTCAGCTTTCGACTTTTGAGTCTTTGTTGTATACTGGTAGTTTGAAGATTGGCCCGTCATGGTCCCCTTATTTTGTTTGGTGCTTTAAGTTTAAGTCATGAGCTATACCATCAGTTTCCTTAGAACAATACGATATAGATTTGCCACAAATGTTTCCTTACAAGATGTTTTTGAGAAGTAATGCCTTCCTAAGACAGGTATGAAACCTCCTCTCCACCCCCCTGCATATATGCTACCTATCTCGGCTGACGCCGACTTGGTTTTTAGTTTTGTCAAACATTATTCAATCTGGTATCTAAAATGTGGCAGGTTTTGTGGTCTTATATGTTTTTGGGACTTCAAGTGATGTCAGGTATGTTGACCTAAATACCACACGTATCATGGTGTATGGAGCTGTGTATTAGGTTTAAGAACTAAAACAACTATTGAAGAATGAATAATCTAACTGTATGCATGATCACGTAAGATTCAATTAAAGGATGCTTCTGCTTTGTATCCTGTGTGGACCACATTAAAATGTTTAATCTTTGATGAATACAAGGCCTATATGTGTGGCATTACTCTTCTTCCTTACATGGCTGCTATTTTTTTGTCCTAGATTTTCCATAGAAGTTCTTAATCTCAATGAATCTTAATGTTGGTTGCTTCAGGTGGTTGATGACACTCGAGTTGACTCTAAAGATGATGGTCCTGTGGAATGGGTTTCATATTGGAAGTCCAATGTTACAGTCAATTTGGTTGATGATTTTACAAGGTGTGTTTGCTTTAATTGCTGAAATACTCTTAGCTGCCTTACTTATTGCCTTCCTTTAAACTTTGCTGCGCAAAATGGTCATGTATATAATGAAGTCCATATTCTGTTTTAATTGTTTTATTCTAACAATATTCACATTGCCACATGGAGTGGAATGTTTAAGAGATCTCCCTAGATATGCTATTGTTTATATAAATGCTGGTCATTTGATTGAACATAAAATTCATCCATGCATTGTTCGGGGTGCATGTCAGACAAATTCCGTTTCTCTCCCCTCCCCCAGCAGCCGTAGTAAAATGCTCATCTTTGGCTATGTACTTGATAAGCACTAGAATGAAGCTATTACACTATGTGGTGGTGAAGCATAATTTTAGAGGTTGCATTAGAATACACTTTTAAGTTTTGTTTTTTTACTTCCAGTACTGTCAGCTTTAGCCATTGGTCCCACCACCACATCCAAGCTCCATCATAGAGAGTAGAATCACATCAATAGTAACACTGCTAACTAGATAACCATCACCATTGAGGATAGGTGGATAATAGGATTGATCACTTGATTATAAGGACACCTTTGTTGGACAAGTCCTACCCCTCCCCATTAATACCGGTTCCTGCAATATCACTTCATTGATGCCAGTTTGAGCCCCCATCTTAGTTGGCCTCCTGTTTCTATCAACACCTTTTCCGGAGATCACACTAGCCACATCACCTAAAGTTAGAAGTGTCTTTGCTACCACAACCATCCCACTGTTGCTATCAGCCACATAATTTCAACCATGAGTTATTTAGACCAAACTATTTTTTGGTTGGCATGGTGCCAATCCTTAGTTTTGGGTTTCTGCCTTTTGTCGCTGATGTTCTTCCCGAACCTAGTGTGGTGACTGGTTCATTACATATTGCATACGTTTTTTTTATCAGTGCCTTTTTAGTTATAGTTCAAGCTCATTATACATATGAAAAGTGGGTTGGATATGCAGAACAAAGGGCAATTCCCTTTAAGGAATAAGCCATCCAATTATCAAGCCTGCCTTTTTAGTGAAACTTTACTCTGGTCGTATAAGCCCCTCAATAATATGATTTTGTTTATTACAAGCTGAACCTTTTAGTTATGTTCTTCTCTCCCCCCTTCTCGTGTCCGCATAGAGAAGGGGGAGGAAGATAGAGTTGATGGGAGATTTACACGGGTGAAAGGGATCTTCGAGAAGACCTTTGGACTATTTTGTAGAATTCGGGCATATGACGAAGCTATTTCTACCCAAACATGTCTATTTGAATTTTTTTCTCACCGGAGTACTTGTTGTCACGGAGCTTGCATTTGGACATTTGATCTATCTAATTTATGGCAAACTGCCAATGAAGGTTTGTCACTTTTTTGCTCTGTTGATTTCATGGTTCAAAGTATCGGCCGATAACGATACGAGTTGGTTGAATCGTATCCGTCTCAGCACCTTCGGAGACGATATCGTTACACGATACGTATAAACCCCGAGTTTCACACAACTCGACTGAATCGTCTGAGTTGTATCTGAGTCAATCACGAGTCGCCGAAATATCGTCACCGAATCGACCGATATGGTTCCACAATGCTGTAATATGACCTGAATTTCTCATCATATTCAACATTTTCTTTTAGGTCGAATTACTCGATACTGCGTCGCGATGCCTTGACCGATGTGTCTCAGAACTTTGGTTGATTTGACCGTGTTTCTTGAGCTTCACTAGTCCAAAGATTGGGTCAACATGCACCATTTTGGTTAGTGGCCATGTGGTATCAATTTGATTCCCATGGAAGGTTGATTAGAACTTCATTCCCTAGCTTGTTTTATTTCCTAGTCATTTCATTTCTTTTAAGCTAATGAAGCTTTCAGACAAGAAATAAGTTAATCACCTGCATTTTATGGTTGTGAAGTGCAGAAGCCTCAATTACAACTGTTCTATCTAACACTACGCCAAACTTAAATTGCAAACTAGATGAGTAACTTTTAGATATTGGACAAGGGATATGCGTTCTGTCCTTAATTGCACAAGTTCCAGGAGCCTTTGGACGCTCTAGATTTCAATCCTTGCCTAAAAGAGGGGTTGCTGGGAGCATGGTTACCTCAATTCACTAAACTCTTAACGACCCGAAATCTGGGTACATCGATCCGAAATGTGATGGGTTCGCGATTCAGATCATCAAAATTGACGACCCCAAATTGCAATACTAACTTTAAATCAATTCGCTTTAAAACATGTAGCACAAATATAAAATACATATTAATTGACTACATGTATATAGATTTATAATTATATATTATTTTAGAAAATAGAAAATCAAGCACAATTATGAGACAAATGGTAACTAACTTAGTATTTATGAATGTTTTGTAATATATAATATTGTATAGTAATGAAAACGATCTACATAAGAGTTCCAAAAAGAATTGCGACCTAAAATACTGTACCTGTTAAACCTACCCCATCGTACCACGTGCATAAGAATGTTTTGTATCATGTACCCGTACTTGTACCACGTACTAAAGCGCCTCACGATCCAGGTACCATTGGCTGGGAGTAAGTTTGTAGGTGATTATGACAGGCCTTGATTTGAGTGCAAACTTTAGTAGATATGTTGTAAAGATTATTGAGGAAGGAATTTACTCTATGGTGTATGTTTGCTGCTTTGAAATATCCAAGAAGAACAGAGACATTTTAGTATTGTGTAAGATAGACTAAGGAGTGCGCAACTGGTTGTGAAAGAGCGAAAGTAAGTGTGCACAATGAAGGATCATGATAAAGAAGAAAATGATGTGAGGTCAATTAAATACTATGTGAAACATAATACATTTTTGAAATAAAAGGGGCTTTAAGCTGCAGCGAGGTTGTATAGAGATAGGTTTGAGAAACGTGGATACAAAAGACAACAGATAACTTGGATGAGGGAGGAGAGAACTGGGCTGCCTTTAGTGCTGGCAATTTCTTGTGTGGAATTTTCCTATTCATGTAATGGCTGGTTTTGTAGAAACTGACTAATATTAAGTTAAATGGGGGCAATTAAATGCAGAATCCAGTCCCTTTTTTGGTACAAAAGTTGGATGAAGCCACTTTATTTTTATGCGGGTTATGTGAACACAAAATGGCTCAGGTTGTTCAGGCTGGAAATGTATGCCACAAAACATTTTTTTGGCTTACACATCATATGTCTAATGATCCATCTTTGTTTATTTATACCTCATCTCTTCCCTCCTCTACTACTATTATGGATGCTAATGGCACTCCAATGTCATTGGCAAACGTTGGATCTATTATGACTTCACTCTTATCTGTTCATAATGTTTATTTTATTCCTCAATTACCTTTGAACTTGATTTATGTGAGTCAACTATGTGATCTTGATCTTATTGTTCACTTTTTTTCCGGTGGTTGTATTGTACAGGATCCTCATTCTAAGAAATTGATTGGGACATGCTCTAGAGTTGGAGGATTGTATGTGCTATAAAAATTGCATGTTCCAAATATGGCTGTTTTTTCTGTTTATTTGTCTTGTATTCATTTGATTCCTAAGTCCTCTAGGTTTTATTTATGGCATTCTTGTCTTGGGCACATTTCTAGTTCTCGTTTGAAAGTTTTAGTTTCTATTGGTGCATTAGGTGATTTAAATAATCATGATATTTCTGATCGTAGTGGTTGCAAACTCGCTAAATTCACAGCTTTATCTTTTAAGAACAGTTTCACTTCTTCTTCCGTTCCTTTTGATCTTGTGCATTCTGATGTATGGGGTATTGCCCCTATTGCATCTAAAAAGGGTCTCGATATTATTTAATTTTTTTTTTTTGATTATACTTGATATTATTGGATTTATCTCATGAAATAGCGATTTAGATTTTTCTCCATTTTTTCTCTTTTCATGTCATGATTCACACATTATATTCTTCGATCATTAAATGATTTTGTTGTGATTTGAGTTGGGAATATAGACACAATCATTTCACTTGTTGAAATCTGATGGTATTGTTCAACAGTCCTCTTGTGCGACACGCCTCCCTTACCCAGAATGGTGTGGCTAAGCGAAAACGTAGACACATCATGGAGGGTGCTCGTTCATTGCTCTTATTTGCATCAATTTTCACTTCTTTTTGGAGAGAGGTTGTTCTTATTGTTGTTCATCTCATTAATCAGATTCCCTTTATTATTACTTCCGGTGTTTCGCTTTTTGAGCGGTTATGTGGAAAACCTTCTGATTATTTTTCTTTGCGTGTCTTTGGTTGCATTTGTTTGATACTTGTTCCGAAAGTTGAACTCAATAAGTTGTTTGCTTGTTATGTTATGTGTATCTTTCTTAGTAATGGTGAGGAACAAAAAGGATATCGCTGTTATGATCCTATTGCCAAAAGATTTTATGTATCTAGACATGTGGTCTTTCTTGAACATATTCCTTTCTTTTCCGTTCCTTCTGTTTCTGAATCCTTCAAGAGATCTGATCTTATATATATTGACCCATTTCCTGATGATACTTATAGTGATTCTAATAATCATGACATGCTCACTTCTGATATTTGTTCTTCGTCCCAGTCTCCGTTGGTGTCATTTCCTATTGTTCACACTTATTCTCGCAGGCACAAAAAACTAAGTCACACGCAAGTACAACCCCTTTACCTCTTTCAGTTGCTTCTCCGTCGGCTTCTGATGAGGTGGATCCTTCTTCTTCTTGACTAAGCGCATTCATAAGTGTTCTGATCGCTTTGGTTTTTCTAACAATTGCTATTCTTTTGATTTTTTTGTTCATTTTTATCTTTTATTCATTATTTGTTTGTGCCTACCTCTTATAAGGAGGTTGCTCTTGATCCTTTTTGGCGGCATGTTATGAATGAAGAATTTTTCGCACGACATAAAAGTGGGACGTGGATCTTGTGCCTTTACCTATTGGCAAGCAGGTTGTTGGTAATTGTCGGTGAGTATACAAGATTAAAACCTAAACGAATGATTTTATTGAAAGATATAAAGCTAGATTGATTGCTAAGGGTTTTGTATAGGAATATGACATTGATTACAAGGCATGGTTCAAAGTATCGGCTGATATAGATACGAGTCGTATTAGACTTGACATTTGTCGAGACGATACCGTTACACAATACGTATAAATTCTAAGTCTCGTACGAGTTGTTCGAGTTGTATCTGAGTCAATCTCGAGGTGTTGTCACCTAATCGACTGATACGATTTTGTGATGTTGCGGTATGACTTGAATCTCTCGTCATGTTTAACATTTGTGTTTAGGTTGTATTTTTCGATACTGTATTGTGATGCCGCGACTGATATGTCTCAGAGTTTTCAAAGTAGATGATCGATATTGTGACCTTAAACTATATTACAAGGAGATGTATGCTCATGTTGCAAAGATGACTATTGTTCGTACTTTACTATATCAACTATTCGCCAATGAAAACTATTTTAGATGGATGTCAAGAATGTTTTTCTAAACTGGTGAATTGACAGAAGATG